TTTGGTTTAATTTTCTAGATTGTGGGGAGGGTATTATGTGTTTGTGCTGATGTTTGTAACAGCCAAAAATATTGATACTACACCCACCTTAAAGTATACCAATCGGCTCAGAATCACTTTCTGAGCTATGTCCGTCCGTTCGTCCGTCCGTCTGTCTGTCTGTTTGTCTGTCTGTCTGTCTGTATGTCCGTCTGTCTGTCTGTGTGTCCATGTAAACCTTGTGCACACGCTACAGGTCGCAATTTTCTAAATAATGTGATGAAATTTGGCACATACTCTTCTTTTGACTCAAGGCCTATTGAAAATGGTTGAAATCGGTCCATTATTTCGTCTAGTCCTCTTACAGCCGTAATATCTCTACAAAAATCGGCAAATTAAATGTTACGGCCGTTTTTAGTAATGATCGGGCCTCATTTTACCCTAACCCCTGAATTAAGTTCCGTTCAGAAAATTACTTGAAGGTGAAAATTCACTTTTAAACACTAGTATCACGATGAAATTCTGCATAAATAACTTTAATGCATTCGTAAATCACTCTACCAAAATTTTACCTTTGCCCCCCTAAACCCTCTTTCAGAAAATCACTTTAATATGGCAACAAATGGTTAAAATATTTCGAAATTAAGGTAAAATGATTTATTATTAAAAAAATAATCCACACTGGTGTTGGGTATCATATGGTGGGTCATGCTCGACTATACATTCCTACTTGTTTTTAATAAAAATAAAAATGAATACATTGATAATGCAATGATTAGGCCTTTTACCGTTACGTAGCTGTCAGTCGTTAAACGCGGAAAAGTATTGTATATGTTTGGGGTTTTTACAGCTTGACTACAATTGAAACTGCTGTCGATAAACCACATTAAAAGAATGTAGGCACAACAAAACACAGTTTTTTACATTTATAAGAAAAAACATGAATGCACAATTATGTTTTTGTTTAAAAATTCATGGGAATTTAAAGTTTTCACGAGACTAGACTTGATACACATTCTTAAATACTTACCGATAACCTTCTGGTACACCTGGGTTACGAGTTAAAAATGAGCCAGTAGCCAAACGTCTGATGACCCACTCAATTGGAACCATTTCACATTTTTTAGCAATAAAAGCATTGGGTCCAGCTGGTTTAACGTAGGCTGTGTCAAGGCCTACAAACGAAACGAACGAATAATAAATAAAATCTTTATGTTTCCTTTGCTCTACTACTTACCGGCTTCATTTAATATCTGAAAAACTAAAGCATTTGTGGTATTAACAATTTCAGATTTGCCCTGCAAATTGTGTGCCTGAACACCATCACCAGCTGTAATACGATCCTTGCTTAATAGCAAACACAAACCGGGATGTTCGGGTAAATCGTAAACCTTTTTGGTTTTACCCTCATAAATAAATTTGCCCAATTTATAACCTTCAACTGTAATAAATTTTGTTTTATTATAAGCTTTCCAAGATTGAAGCAAACACATTAACTTACTGCTAGTGGTCATGATCCGTTAATATATTATTTTATTTAAATATTAAATTGAGATAGGAAAATATACGTTTTTTCTCAACTTAACTCTTCTAGAGCACTTTCCAATATAATATGTTCTAGACGGACGTTGAATCTGTACTGATTCCAGTTGGCACATGTGTATCTTTTTATCAGGGATGGCAAAGTTGATACGCTGGTACTTTTTTTTAAATAATATTTAATGTTCAAAAGTACTGTGATTTTGTGACTTTCAAAGTTTCTTCGCAATTACTTTTTTTAACAATTTTTTGAAAACAATTTCTCATGTAACAGTTTTTTTGTTTTGTTTTTAGCTAAAGCTAAATTTTATATTCTAAATTTTAATACGCACTGATTACTTTTGACACAGGACATCTTAGACAATATTAGACTCAAACGGTCCCGTTTTTTAAATACCTTTAGAAGTTGTATGAAATTAAAAACTATAATGAATCTGGTTAGAAATTTCTTTCTTTAAGAAATTTCTTTCTTATTCTTCCATGTTTCCTAATAATATAAACTCTTAGAAATTAATCCTATATATAGAAACGGTTACCAAATATGGGTGCGTATCATTCCGAGCAGTTTTTTAGAAAAAATTAGTTTTAGTACTAAAAATGTGAAAAAAGTACGTTTTGCAAATGATTTTTATACCAGATTTGTCACCAAATATTAGAGATTTCAGGTATTATTTGCACCATGCATTACCAAGCAATGTATGAAATAACTACTTTACTCATTATCTAAATTTTAAAAACAATTTGCTGGTTATATTGTACATTAGCGATATCTTCTAGATAATTCGAGCATTATATAAAGGAAAAACTCGACTTCTATAATGATCAGCCAGTGTTTCTCAAATGTTAATGTTGCCATATCATAAATGTTATTTAACAGACTGTTGGTTGCTTTCAGAACATATAATTTTCATAAAAATAATGGAACTTGATATCGGGCGTTAATTTTAAATTAAAATAGAAATTCATAAAAAACTATTCAATTAAATTACAACTTAATAGAGCAGAAAATGTACCATCAATTTTCCCTTACCAACCCCTCCCCCCCTCGTGGATCCGCGCCTGAGGTATGTACATACATACATACATATGTATGTGTATTTTGAATTAGGTTTTTATTTTAATCTTGAGACAACAAGTATTTAAAAAAAAACAAGTATAAATAAAAAATCTGAGGAAATCAGATTCAAATTGAAAAAAGATAAATATATGTACTTCATGCCTTCATAAATGTCTTCACCACTAATAAATATATATATTTTTTTATTTTTTTTAAGAAAAAACATTATTTTTTTTAAAATTAATTTTTTCCCAAAAAAAAAAAAAAAAATAATCTAAATTCTATGCATAAATGGTTAAGATCCATATTTTTGAGCATAGTCTATATTCTAATCTATAGTCTAATCTATAGTCTAGTCTATAGCCTAGTCTATAGCCTAGTCTATAGTCTAGTCTAGTTTATAGTCTAGTCTATAGCCTAGTCTATAGTCTAGTCTATAGTCTAGTCTATAGCCTAGTCTATAGTCTAGTCTATAGCCTAGTCTATAGTCTAGTCTATAGTCTAGTCTATAGTCTAGTCTATAGTTTAGTCTATTGTCTAGTCTATAGTGTAGTCTATAGTCTAGTCTATAGTCTAGTCTATAGTCTAGTCTATAGCCTAGTCTGTAGTCTAGTCTATAGTCTAGTCTATAGTCTAGTCTATAGTCTAGTCTATAGTCTAGTCTAGTCTAGTAGTCTATAGTCTAGTCTATAGTCTAGTCTATAGTCTAGTCTATAGTCTAGTCTATAGTCTAGTCTATAGTCTAGTCTAGTAGTCTAGTCTATAGTCTAGTCTATAGTCTAGTCTATAGTCTAGTCTATAGTCTAGTCTATAGTCTAGTCTAGTCTAGTCTATAGTCTAGTCTATAGTCTAGTCTAGACTATAGTCTAGTCTATAGTCTAGTCTATAGTCTAGTCTATAGTCTAGTCTATAGTCTAGTCTATAGTCTAGTCTATAGTCTAGTCTATAGTCTAGTCTATAGTCTAGTCTATAGTCTAGTCTATAGTCTAGTCTATAGTCTAGTCTATAGTCTAGTCTATAGTCTAGTCTATAGTCTAGTCTATAGTCTAGTCTATAGTCTAGTCTATAGTCTAGTCTATAGTCTAGTCTATAGTCTAGTCTATAGTCTAGTCTATAGTCTAGTCTATAGTCTAGTCTATAGTCTAGTCTATAGTCTAGTCTATAGTCTAGTCTATAGTCTAGTCTATAGTCTAGTCTATAGTCTAGTCTATAGTCTAGTCTATAGTCTAGTCTATAGTCTAGTCTAGTCTAGTCTATAGTCTAGTCTATAGTCTAGTCTAGACTATAGTCTAGTCTATAGTCTAGTCTATAGTCTAGTCTATAGTCTAGTCTATAGTCTAGTCTATAGTCTAGTCTATAGTCTAGTCTATAGTCTAGTCTATAGTCTAGTCTATAGTCTAGTCTATAGTCTAGTCTATAGTCTAGTCTATAGTCTAGTCTATAGTCTAGTCTATAGTCTAGTCTATAGTCTAGTCTATAGTCTAGTCTATAGTCTAGTCTATAGTCTAGTCTATAGTCTAGTCTATAGTCTAGTCTATAGTCTAGTCTATAGTCTAGTCTATAGTCTAGTCTATAGTCTAGTCTATAGTCTAGTCTATAGTCTAGTCTATAGTCTAGTCTATAGTCTAGTCTATAGTCTAGTCTATAGTCTAGTGACTAGACTATAGACTAGACTATAGACTAGACTATAGACTAGACTATAGACTAGACTATAGACTAGACTATAGTCTAGACTAGACTATAGACTAGACTATAGACTAGACTACAGACTAGACTATAGACTAGACTATAGACTAGACTATAGACTAGACTATAGACTAGACTATAGACTAGACTATAGACTAGACTATAGACTAGACTATAGACTAGACTATAGACTAGACTATAGACTAGACTATAGACTAGACTATAGACTAGACTATAGACTAGACTATAGACTAGACTATAGACTAGACTATAGACTAGACTATAGACTAGACTATAGACTAGACTAGACTATAGACTAGACTATAGACTAGACTATAGACTAGACTATAGACTAGACTATAGACTAGACTATAGACTAGACTATAGACTAGACTAGACTAGACTATAGACTAGACTATAGACTAGACTATAGACTAGACTATAGACTAGACTATAGACTAGACTATAGACTAGACTATAGACTAGACTATAGACTAGACTATAGACTAGACTATAGACTAGACTATAGACTAGACTATAGACTAGACTATAGACTAGACTATACTATAGACTAGACTATAGACTAGACTATAGACTAGACTCTAGTCTATAGTCTAGTCTATAGTCTAGTCTATAGTCTAGTCTATAGTCTAGTCTATAGTCTAGTCTATAGTCTAGTCTATAGTCTCGTAGTCGTTATCTTTCATTTTAGCTCAAAGTGAGATTACATTTTGACTGGTAGAGATCATAAAATACCCAAACTCATAAATGAATGTTGAATTTGATGTTGATGAGCAAGGTACATTTAAAATAAACTTTAAATTGAAAAACTAATTAATAATATTTACTACTAGAGATTTTAAGATTTTTGTTTTATTTTATTATTATTATTCCGATTTATTATCGGTTTATTACCAACCTTAAAATCTGAAAACCTTACAACAGCACAACCTTTAAATATTTCATTATTACACTTCCCCACAGACAACATTCTCTTGGCCGATATCATTGATTGCGAAACTTGGCCCGCTGGTGATTCGCGTTTGATGGTTGACAAAGAAGACTGCCGCTCTACATGCTGCTCAAATTTTGGGTCTTTCGAACTATATGATTTGGTCGAAATTGTGTGTGAAACAATTGAACAATTTTGTCAACTTAAAGAAGGCTGATATGGAGTTACGTGGTGTACGTAAAGCTTCAGTGTTAAGTTTATAATTTTGTATGAATAAGTTGGCATTTTATTTTGGAAAATTTTTAATAATAAGAAAACTTTTTTAAAATAACAAAAAAAATCTTTGGAATCCATCTTCTGCTCTAACAAATGCGATAAGTTTCAAATATTAGTAAGCGGGAGAGAGTTCTTGAGACTTCCAACAGACTATAAAAGTTTATTCTTTGGTGGCAACATTAAATATGAGTAAATTTTAAAAGCACTATCTTGTCATAATAGAAGTCAAAATTTTTCGTTATATAATACTCGAAAGATCTGGAAGATCTGTTCGTGTATAAAAATGTTTTAAATGTCTAAATATGCACACAATTTAGAATATTTTTTATTTGTTAAAATTAAAAAAAAAGTATTTATAAATAATGAAGGACAGTTTCAATCTAACTTATTCTTAAAAACATATCGTAGCTACATAATTTATTTCTTTTTTAAAATTTGTCTCAAGATTAAAAAACCTAATTCAAAATACACATACATATGGGCAATTCCATACGATTGTATGTGACATTCGCACGCCTTCAGAGTGGTATAGATTTTGTAAAATTAGGAGTACTTGGAAAACAATTTTGTCATTCTGTTCCATTTAAAGAATACTATATTTGCAAAAGGAATCATCCCATTCGGAACCTTGTTTTCCAAAATATGGATTAAAATATGGCGATATCATACGTGACAAAAAACGGAAGTGTTTTTAAAGTACATGTAAATATTTACGAAAATCTGCGAATTCTGTAGGTGTATCTTTTTTGTTTTAATTTCTTACACTATGGGACATATTTTTCATTAGTAATCCATAATTTTTAAATAAAAAAATAAATTAATATAATTTTATAATGAACATATTTAAATATCGTACGTGACACATCGTATGTGACAGATTTTTCTCTTGATTTTTTTTAGGTTATAAAATATATATTTTGGAAATATATGCATACACACTTCAACAAATCAAAAGGAGTAGGAAAGTACAGTCGGACATGGCCGACCTATATACATGTTTAAGCAATTTATAGATAAAAATAAAACACTGGAGTTATATGGCGACTAGGGTCAAATATGGACCGATCCTCATAAAATTCCAGGGTGTGATTTTAATTCATATAAAACTTATTTGTACCAAATTTTATCAAAATACTAGTGATTAGAGGTGAGCTTTACGGACGTTTGAGTGTTTTTTGAAATTAAACTTTGAATGGAACTAGGGTCAAATGAGCTCCAATCGTTATGAAAATCGGCATAAAGGTTTAGGCTTATAAACATTTTAGATCTGCCGATTTTTGAAGGGATAGTATTATAATTAACAGAACTATGAGCTAAAAAGTCATATTTTCGGTTCCGTTTGTATGGCGGCGAGGTGTAAAAATAGACCGATTTCAAAAATTTTAAACAGTCTTCGTCTTTGGTGCTACAAAAGATCATATACAAAATTTTATTGAATTCAAAAATGCAAAAGTTATCAAGGGTTTTATTTTTTCAGTCGTAGTTTACCTTTTCATGCAATTGCCCATATATAATATGGACATATTTATTTACTTTAAAAACGAGATTAGAAGCCAATACGCACAATAACAAGAAATCATTAAATTTATTTATCGTCAAGTTTACCAGTGATGATACATTTTCTTATCTATTAAGTTCTACTTTAATAAAATATATTTTTACGAATTTCTATTTTAATTTAAAATTAACGAGTTGTATTGACTTCATGTTATTAAGACTTCCAACTAGGGATGCCAATCACGAAATCCCGGGATTTTTTTCTAAAACATTTTTTTTTAATTCTTCTTTGAGCCATAATTTCAACAAATTAACTAGACTATAGACTAGACAATAGACTAGACTATAGACTAGACTATAGACTAGACTATAGACTAGACTATAGACTAGACAATAGACTAAACTATAGACTAGACTATAGACTAGACTAGACTAGACAATAGACTAAACTATAGACTAGACTATAGACTAGACTATAGACCAGGCTATAGACTAGACTATAGACTAGGCTATAGACTAGACTATAGACTAGACTATAGACTAGACTATAGACTAGACTATAGACTAGACTATAGACTAGACTATAGACTAGACTATAGACTAGACTATAGACTATAGACTAGACTATAGACTAGACTATAGACTAGACTATAGACTAGACTATAGACTAGACTATAGACTAGACTATAGACTAGACTATAGACTAGACTATAGACTAGACTATAGACTAGACTATAGACTAGACTATAGACTAGACTATAGACTAGACTATAGACTAGACTATAGACTAGACTATAGACTAGACTATAGACTAGACTATAGACTAGACTATACTATAGACTAGACTATAGACTAGACTATAGACTAGACTCTAGTCTATAGTCTAGTCTATAGTCTAGTCTATAGTCTAGTCTATAGTCTAGTCTATAGTCTAGTCTATAGTCTAGTCTATAGTCTAGTCTATAGTCTAGTCTATAGTCTAGTCTATAGTCTAGTCTATAGTCTAGTCTATAGTCTAGTCTATAGTCTAGTCTATAGTCTAGTCTATAGTCTAGTCTATAGTCTAGTCTATAGTCTAGTCTATAGTCTAGTCTATAGTCTAGTCTATAGTCTAGTCTATAGTCTAGTCTATAGTCTAGTCTATAGTCTAGTCTATAGTCTAGTCTATAGTCTAGTCTATAGCCTAGTCTATAGTCTAGTCTATAGCCTGGTCTATAGTCTAGTCTATAGTCTAGTCTATAGTTTAGTCTATTGTCTAGTCTATAGTCTAGTCTATAGTCTAGTCTATAGTTTAGTCTATTGTCTAGTCTATAGTCTAGTCTATAGTCTAGTCTATAGTCTAGTCTATAGTCTAGTCTATTGTCTAGTCTATAGTCTAGTTAATTTGTTGAAATTATGGCTCAAAGAAGAATTAAAAAAAAATGTTTTAGAAAAAAATCCCGGGATTTCGTGATTGGCATCCCTAGTTGGAAGTCTTAATAACATGAAGTCAATACAACTCGTTAATTTTAAATTAAAATAGAAATTCGTAAAAATATATTTTATTAAAGTAGAACTTAATAGATAAGAAAATGTATCATCACTGGTAAACTTGACGATAAATAAATTTAATGATTTCTTGTTATTGTGCGTATTGGCTTCTAATCTCGTTTTTAAAGTAAATAAATATGTCCATATTATATATGGGCAATTGCATGAAAAGGTAAACTACGACTGAAAAAATAAAACCCTTGATAACTTTTGCATTTTTGAATTCAATAAAATTTTGTATATGATCTTTTGTAGCACCAAAGACGAAGACTGTTTAAAATTTTTGAAATCGGTCTATTTTTACACCTCGCCGCCATACAAACGGAACCGAAAATATGACTTTTTAGCTCATAGTTCTGTTAATTATAATACTATCCCTTCAAAAATCGGCAGATCTAAAATGTTTATAAGCCTAAACCTTTATGCCGATTTTCATAACGATTGGAGCTCATTTGACCCTAGTTCCATTCAAAGTTTAATTTCAAAAAACACTCAAACGTCCGTAAAGCTCACCTCTAATCACTAGTATTTTGATAAAATTTGGTACAAATAAGTTTTATATGAATTAAAATCACACCCTGGAATTTTATGAGGATCGGTCCATATTTGACCCTAGTCGCCATATAACTCCAGTGTTTTATTTTTATCTATAAATTGCTTAAACATGTATATAGGTCGGCCATGTCCGACTGTACTTTCCTACTCCTTTTGATTTGTTGAAGTGTGTATGCATATATTTCCAAAATATATATTTTATAACCTAAAAAAAATCAAGAGAAAAATCTGTCACATACGATGTGTCACGTACGATATTTAAATATGTTCATTATAAAATTATATTAATTTATTTTTTTATTTAAAAATTATGGATTACTAATGAAAAATATGTCCCATAGTGTAAGAAATTAAAACAAAAAAGATACACCTACAGAATTCGCAGATTTTCGTAAATATTTACATGTACTTTAAAAACACTTCCGTTTTTTGTCACGTATGATATCGCCATATTTTAATCCATATTTTGGAAAACAAGGTTCCGAATGGGATGATTCCTTTTGCAAATATAGTATTCTTTAAATGGAACAGAATGACAAAATTGTTTTCCAAGTACTCCTAATTTTACAAAATCTATACCACTCTGAAGGCGTGCGAATGTCACATACAATCGTATGGAATTGCCCATATGTATGTGTATTTTGAATTAGGTTTTTTAATCTTGAGACAAATTTTAAAAAAGAAATAAATTATGTAGCTACGATATGTTTTTAAGAATAAGTTAGATTGAAACTGTCCTTCATTATTTATAAATACTTTTTTTTTTTAATTTTAACAAATAAAAAATATTCTAAATTGTGTGCATATTTAGACATTTAAAACATTTTTATACACGAACAGATCTTCCAGATCTTTCGAGTATTATATAACGAAAAATTTTGACTTCTATTATGACAAGATAGTGCTTTTAAAATTTACTCATATTTAATGTTGCCACCAAAGAATAAACTTTTACAGTCTGTTGGAAGTCTCAAGAACTCTCTAGCTTACTAATATTTAAAACTTATCGCATTTGTTAGAGCAGAAGATGAAATTCCAAAGATTTTTTTTGTTATTTTAAAAAGTTTTTTTATTATTAAAAATTTTCAAAAATAAAATGCCAACTTAATCATCCAAAATTATAAACTTAACACTGAAGCTTTACGTACACCACGTAACTCCATATCAGCCTTCTTTAAGTTGACAAAATGGTTCAATTGTTTCACACACAATGTCGACCAAATCATATAGTTCGAAAGACCAAAAATTTGAGCAGCATGTAGAGCGGCAGTCTTCTTTGGCAACCATCAAACGCGAATCACCAGCGGGCCAAGTTTCGCAATCAATGATATCGGCCAAGAGAATGTTGTCTGTGGGGAAGAGTAATAATGAAATATTTAAAGGTTGTGCTGTTGTAAGGTTTTCAGATTTTAAGGTTGGTAATAAACCGATAATAAATCGGAATAAAATTAATAAAATAAAACAAAAATCTCAAAATCTCTAGTAGTAAATATTATTAATTAGTTTTTCAATTTAAAGTTTATTTTAAATGTACCTTGCTCATCAACATCAAATTCAACATTCATTTATGAGTTTGGGTATTTTATGATCTCTACCAGTCAAAATGTAATCTCACTTTGAGCTAAAATGAAAGATAACGACTACGATGCTTGTAGAAAAGCTACACCCGGACATGTGCCGAGCAGATTTTAATAATTTATGTTCTATTTTTAATGTTTTATATTTATCAATTAATAATAGTTCTGACCTGAACATGTCGATATGCGCATTCCGATGCACAGTGGTATAGAAATAAAAAAAATAGAGAAATATTTCTGTAAAATCTTTATGTATAGAGGTTTTCATTGAAATGTAATTGTTATTTGTTATCCCAAATCCCTCAATTCTCAAAAAAGTTTTGGAAAATCACAAAAATTTACTTTTTTAGTTTTTTAGCTATAATATCCATACCAGGGGCGGGGTTATCGAAAACCTTTACAGAATAATTAAGAACATATTGGGTCATCTAAAATGGGTTACTATAATTTGATATCGTCTATGCGATTTGAGAATTTTTGTCCTAAAGTTGATTATTAGATAAAAAAAATAGGCGTTTTTGGGATGCACCTGGTCCCCTCCGTATTAAAAGTTTCGAAATATTTTTTCATTTAAAATATTTCATGTAAAGTTAGTTAGCTTTTCAAAAAGTATAAATTCTTTATAAATCTTCTTAGAAATTTTTTGATAAGTTAAAAAGAGAGGTTAGAATGAGAAGTTAGTAGTGAAACACCATTTTACATTTTTTTAGCAATGAAAGCTTTGGATCCAGCTGGTTTAATATAGGCTGTGCTAATGCATTAATATAAATAACTGATTAGTAAGAAAACCCCCCTCATCAAGGTTATTTTCGATTTTTTAATAATCATGCATAAAAAGTTTTTATTTATTATTTATTTATTTTTTATTAAAAACTTATAAAAGACATGAAAAGACTTAAAATTATGTTTTGTTTTAAAACAAACCATTATCATCACTAGCTATAATACGATCTTTGTTCTCACGGTTTCATATACAAATGTTCATAAATTTCTCCATCACATCAGGTTTTTAAGATATTGTGTATAGGGCCACTGAATTAACGATACACTGTATTGCCGACAATATTACAGTTTTGCTTTATAACGTAGTTTTTTAAAGCTTCACTTTGTTCCATTTTTCAAATTTTAGTTTAAATAAATAAAAACGTTTATTTCCAACTTGAAGCAATTACCAATTGGATTTAATTTCATTTGTCGATAAAGCCGTGTCTTACCTTATTCCCACTTTCTTGTTGCATTTACGTTCAACGTGGCAACTCCTTTTTACTTCATTTTCTCGCGCTATTTGTGATTTTCGCATTTCAATCGAATTTTGTGTAATTTTCAGTGGTTTTTTGTAAAAAATAATACAAGTATATGAAATAAGTGTAATATTAGTGAAATTTTATAAAAAATTTGTTCAATATTTTGAGAAAATATGAAAAAAGTGAAAAAAATTTGTCACACGATGTGTTGTTGCCGAGGCTTCTTCCTCGAAATCGAAGCCTATAATTTGTGCTATACTAAATGGAAAATGACAAAAATCCATGGGACAAAATTGATACAGAGTTGTCCAAACTTATCAAGAAGCATTGGATGTGTGTAGGTAACAATAGGACAGGATGCAGGATATGTTTTCCTGTTTGTTCTCAACTGTTCCAAAAAGGAGAAACTTGTAAATGTGTCGGCGTTCTTTAATTGAAGTCAGTTAATGTTGAGTGAATTACTCATTTCTCGAACAATGGTAAGTCTATACTAAATTATTTCTAATGGATAAAGTCATTATACATAACACGCCCGAACTAAATTTTAAGGTTCGAAAATAATCTTAATTAATATTGGAATATTATTGAATGTAATTGGTTAGGGGCTGCAAAATGCTGTCAGCTTAAGGGGGTTTAAGACGTATGGTGATTCGAAACTTATTATCCAAATGAGACTCCTGGTTGTTTGGTCCTTAAAAAACGTTTATAACTTACCGCATTTGTTCAAACAGAATATCAAATTCCAACATCTTGTTTGTTATTTTAAAATAGTTTATTTTTTATTGTTAAAAATCTTCAAAACAAAGCAAATGGCAACTTAATCATACAAAATCATAAACTTAACACCTAAGCTTTACGTACACCACGTAACTCCTTATCAGCCTTCTTTAAGTTGATAAAATTGTTCAATTGTTTCACACGCAATTTCGACCAAATCATATAGTTCGAAAGACCCAAAATTTGAGCAGCATGTAGAGCGGCAGTTTCGGGATACAAAACGGTGGGACAACCCAAACCAGAGGGAACATTAAGACTAGACCAAACATCAACTTGCATATTTTCAGCCTTAAGGGGAGGACAATTGATGACAGGGTAGGTGGTGTTGCCCGAGAGGACAGGACCCAAACCATTGGAACGGCCAGCTACACAAATGAAAATGAGATTGTTCATAACACTTTCGTATTCACGCATAATGCGCAAAGATTCCTCGGGAGCTTTGTGGGCGGAGGTAACACGTAATTCGGTGTTCAAACCCAAACTCTTGCATTGATCGGCAATTTTTTCACAGTGAGCTTTATCGGAAGCACTACCCATAAGGATTACAACCAAATGATCATTTTTAGGAATAATGTCTTTAAGTTGTTCACTGACCCAAATGAAATTACGCTTGACGGTATCCAAATCGGATTGGGTGACTGAGGCCAAGTTACGGTAGACTTGTTTGTCAACCATTAAACGTTTGTCACCAGCAGGCCACAAACGCCAGGAGTCGGAATCAATGATATCGGCTAAGACAATGTTGCCTGTAGGGGAGAGAAATATAGATGAAAATATTGTAATATGAAATATTTTTTCTGATTTGAGAGAAGTTTTCTTCATCAGATTTTGAAATTCCAGTTGGAAATAAACAAAAATCTTACTAGTATAAAGAGAGCAAATCTCTTGGCGATATTATCAAGTAGTTTAACAATTTAAAGTTTGTTTTAAATGTACCTTGCTCATCAACACCAAATTCAACTTTCATATCGATTAAGGCACAATTTTTAGTGGCCCAGGCCTTTTCCAAAACCTCAAATACAGCCAAAGTCATTCTCTTCATAATATCAACTTCATCTTGACCTTTAAAAGGAATCACATACAAATTAAAACTTTAAAATATATTTCAAATTGTTTTTAATTAATCAATAACCTACCAATCAAGACACCATTGAAAGTGAATTTAGCGGAAATAATTTGTTCGTCCAACCATTGGGGATCATGATTGGCATCATCCTTAAAGAAAGTCTCTTGTTTGGGGGGAGAGAAACTATAAAATAAAGAAAATAAATAATTAATATTTGATATTGTTCGTTAAAATAAATCTATGCAAAAACAAGTAAGAAATTGCAATAGAATACCCTACCCACTAAAGTGGTGTAGGGTATAATAAGTTTCACAATTAGTTCATCCCAGTAGTCCAAAATCACTCTGTATTTTTATGTTTATTATCAAGAATAGCTTCTGGGACTAGTAGTCATTGAAGAATCTGAAATATTACATGTACACTTATTCCAGACTATCAAAATTCTAATTATATTTTGCTATTAAATGCTTGTTACTAATCGATTTTTTTATTTATGATTTTCATTATCAATTTGTTTTTGTTTTTATTGCATTTCATATTGATTGATGAGTTTATTTACTTTATTTTTTACATGTTTATTAAATTATTTCATCATCGTCATAATTGTTGTTTTTTCTCATTTAAATGTTTTTAGCAATTCACCAATTGGGGGTAAATATTGCAAAAGGTCAGGAAAATTGATAATTTTATTAAATCTTATCAGGAATTTTTAATAGTTGTTTTTGTTTTTTGTTTAATAAAAAACAAATAAATATTTGTTTAGGCAAATTTACAATGTTTTTAAATAAGTAAATTTAGAAAAAATAATGAATTCTGATGGAAATGTGTTTAAAAGCTGAAATCGGAAATAGTTTCTAAAACAATTATTCAAAATCTAAAGTTTTGAAGTAATTTTGAGATTTAGAAAACCAATTAAGAATTTTCACAAAATTCTGTTTCTATTGAACTTTAGTTTGAATTTAATTTCGATTTTTTTAGCGTATCTTAAAAATATTCCCTCTCCAGAATCATATCGATCTAGTGTCGGTTGTGACAAATTATGTCGATAGTCAAGCTGCTCTTAGAGCATTGGCAGAAAGATTGTAGAAATGCTCTTAGGGACATTATGAGACTGTTTACTGTTAGACTGTGTTGGGTGCAGGGGCACTGAAATGTGCATGTTAAAGAGGTTGCCGACGAATTAGCTTTACTAGGTTCGAACCTTGACATATATGATAGGGATAGAAGAGGGAAAGCTCCCATATGTCTCTATTATAGGTTCCAGTCCAGGAAAATATCAAAGTCCTTATGGCCAACACTTATGTGAGGCCTGTAGTGTTGTCGCAGTCTTCAGATTCTGGCAGGGATTTCATAGTTTTAAATAATTTTTGAATATACAATTACATATTTATATAATTATTAAGAAATCTCCAGAATCTAGAGATTATTTTATTAATTTAAAAAAAAATTATTGTATTTTAAAAAATTCGAACTTATGTTTGAAAAATTTTTAAAGGTTAAATAATCTTTTATTTATAAGAAATTATAAAAAAAAATTTTCGTTTAATTTGAGACCAATTTCAAACTCAGCATTTTTGCAAATAATTAAAAAAATTTTAGTGTTTTCGAAAACTCGAACTTATGTTCGAAAATTTTTTACATTTTCCAATTTTGAATTTTAAAATTTTAAAAATTATTTTAAAAGTTTTTATGAATTTAAATATTGTAAGGGAATATAAAGCTCTTTCACGATATTTTCGACAATTCGAACTTGTGTTCGAAAACTTTATAAATCTGTTAAAATAATCTAGAAATCATAAGGATTCAGAAAAATATTATTTTAGTTTTATTTGAGACAATATTTTTTTAAATTTTCTGAAATTCAAACTTATGTTCGAAAATGAGAACAATTTGATACATTTAACAATTTTGAACTTGAAATTGTTGTGAATTTTAAACTTGTTTAGTATAGTTTCGGAATATAAACTTTATGATATATTTTCGAAAATTCAAACTTATGTTCAAAAA